CTCAAAACCCTAAACCCCAAACCGTAAACCTCAAACCCTAAACCCCCAAACCCCTAAATTTTCAACCCCGAAACCCCAAACCCTAAACCCTAAACCCCAAACCCCTAAACCCCCACACCCAAAAAGGTCCCAAAGCAAAGCTCTAAAGGCGCCTTCCAGAGCTTCGATCTCACGGTTCATGTGATTCACGTACCTGGGTGTACTTGGAGGTTGATGGGTAGTTATAAGTGTGGTTATAAGTAAGGTAACTATACGTAGTTACAACCCATATTAGAGGACTTAAGCACACTTGTAACTACCCATGAACCTCCAGGTAGTGTTCTAAACTAGGGTCCCAAGTACCTACATAGTACTGGTTACAAGCAATGAAAAGCAGAAAAGAAGGCAAGAGGGACAGATCTGAAAGCAATGTAGTAAAGATGCACATGAGACACAGCGCATGCCTGGTCACTCATCTTACGAGTTCGGAATCTAACAGCAATGGCCATCACCGTAACAAAGGCTAAAGAAATGACATGCTAGAAGAGACAAGAGAAAGACATTTTAAGCTCGCAGAAACATTCGTAAAAAGTCTCCTGCCGAAGCTGGGGCACGTCAGGAGAGAAAAGTTCCGGCTCTCGAGATGAACGAAGATCTTCACGATTTCCTGGCTTGTGGTTCTTGTGAATATACTTTGGAGGCAAAGAAGCATCATCAGGGGCCTGAACCTGCCTTTGCGTATGGAGGCATATGCCTAGGAATGGTAATCTGTATGTGCGTACCTCACTGAAACTGTATCAGCTTATGTCAACGCGAATATGACTCTATGCATGTGAATGCATTGTTTGATTGTACGGTACGGCTGTATTGTACTGTACTGTGATGTAATGTGCTGTACCATACTGTGCCGCCTGTTTGAGAGCGTGCGTTTTTGCATGTGTACGTGCATGTGTATTTGAGTCTGTACCTGTACAATATATAACTAATAAATATATACATGTGCAACCGTGTACACACACGGAGAGAAGCAAATGATGAGATTATTAGCATACACATAGAAAAGGGTATAAAAAGTATAGGCAGGTGTGCATGTCTGAACATCTGTACGAAGGCACGTGAACGTGCGGGTACTGGTCTTCATTAATGCATGGCACTTGCATGCATGTGTGTGTGTGTATATACGCAGATAGATGTACACGCACACATCCCTGCTGTGAGCACATTGACGCTGGAGTCTACTCTGGCAGCATGACAGCCACGAGTGGAGTCTGGGCCAAGCACACCTAACTCCCCCAGCGCTACAGACTGTCTCTCTTTTAGAACACAACCTCCTCGACAGCACAAAGCAGAGGTGCCTCGATGTTGGAAATCCCCGTCCGCTCCTTGATCGTCCGAAATGCCTGCTCATGTTGCCAGGGCAACCATTCCCCAGATCCATCCTTCACCTACCCTCGCTTGAAGGCTCAGGAAGGTGCATCAAGAGGGGGTTGGGGTTCGGAGCCCTTCAAAGCCTATGCGGAGAGTTAAGGAGGCCGGACGCTGCGTTGCCGTCCGCTCGCGTGCGCCACGCATCTTGCCAAAAACATCGAGGAAACTGCGACGCGCAGCTGCCTGCTCGAAGATCTCGATGCTCTTCTGATGCTGCCTGGGATGCTCAATTCTCCAAGGCCTCAACCTGTAAACCCCTCAACCCTAGTCGGAATTGACCCCAAACCCTCCAGCCCGGGGCTCCGATTCCTAAACCCTAAACCCTAAACCCTAAACCCTAAACCCTAAACCCTAAACCCTAAACCCTAAACCCTAAACCCTAGACCGTTTTGGGCGGACGAGGAGGTCTTTTCCTTGCCCGGAGAGCACCACAGCTCGAAGCCCTCGTCACCCGCTTCTAGACTGGGGGAGTGAGGGTTTCGGGTTTAGGGTTTAGGGTTTAGGGTTTAGGGTTTCGGGTTTAGGGTTTCGGGTTTAGGGTTTAGGGTTTTTGGGGTGCGACCAAGATGTAAAACTGCCCTCAGGTCTCTTCGCATCCGTTCTGTCTTGACCCAGGGCTTAGGGTTTAGGGTTACATCTCAAGAGCTCAAAAACCGTGGAAATCCATCTGCAGCTGCACCAGGCTTCGCGAGGCTTCGGGCGGCGATAAAACTCGGTCAAAACCCCGAACCTCATGCCACACCGGTGTTCTAACTACGTTTCCTATAAAGTCCTAAAACTCCTCGCTTGAAAATGCCAAAACTCTTGAAGCTGTAGCTTGCCCCCACGTACACTGAACACCCAACCACACAGACGAAGAGGTCCAGCCGCTTGATATGGCGCCGCTGAATGCAGTTCAGGAAGGCCGTCTTCATGATCCGGCGCATCATGCCTCAGAACACGGGAAACCCCGCGGAGATCGTCCAGACTACTGTTGGGGCTTGCGCAGAAACCGTCGGATGCAGTCATTTTGACTGGGGACAGTCTGGGGTTCAGGGCTGGTGGTTGAAGGGTTTGGGGTTTTTGGGAAGGCACAACACATTACAGGTAGTTCTCTTAAGGTCCACAGAATACTGCACCCATATGGGATAGGACCCGAAAAGGGGTCCTAACTTAGAGAACTACCCTTACGTCATGTGTTCGACCTGACGGTCGTCTCTCGACCAAAAGCGACCTAACACAGAACCGACATACCGAGGTACCTATTGTACGGACTCGAAGCTGTCACTCTTGAGGAAGACGAGGGGTGCTAGCACTCAGCACGCGAAATTTCCGAGACCCAAGTTGCCGTCATCCCTCAATCTCAACATCCACAACCCACAAAAATAATTCCTGACAACCCCAAAACCCCCAAACCAAAACAAGCCACTCAACGCCCTCAGACAAGCCTTATCAAGCACTAACCTTAAAACCCTCAACCACTCAACCCTGAACCCTAAACCACTTAACCCCAAAACCCAAAACCCTAAACCCCCAAACCCTAAACCCAAAACCCTAAACCCCAAACCCTAAACCCCAAAGCCCAAACCCTAAACCCTAAAGCCCAAACCCCAAACCCTGAAACACCCCAGAGCCGCTGCCAGGGCGCTCGGCTCCGAGAATTCCTCCTCCTCGGGAGGCAAAATAAGCCTCGTGGGATCAATTTAGGGTTTAGGGTTTAGGGGCTTAGGGTTTAGGGGTTTAGGGTTTAGGGTTTAGGGTTTAGGGTCTGGGGAATGCAGCTTTCTGGCTTCAGGGCTTGTGGCTCAGAGTTTGGGATGGTTTAAGGCTTAAGGGGTTTAGGGTTCAGGGGTTTAGGGCCTAGGGTCATGGCCTGTGGTTCAGGATGTAGGGTTTGGGGGTCTAGGGTTTGCAGTGTTGGGTGTAGGGGGTTTAGGGTTGGGGTTTCGGGGTCTTGCCCAAACTGGCCTAAACCCATCTTTGGGGTTTATCCGAATCCCTAAGCACTCAAGACTCAAGCCCAGAACCTGAACTCCTAAACTCACGAAACCCTTAAAAGCTAAACCCGATCAAGCCCGAAATGAGACTCTAAAGCCCCGTAAAGGGTTTAGGGTTTAGGGTTAGTGAAATCGACGTATACTCTTTATACCCCCAGGCCACTTGACTCCAAATAGCTCGAACCTCTTTGCATGCCGGGCGCTCGTTCTTCCGCTGCACGCGGCCGTCTGCCTGTTTCAAGCGCACCTCCACCTGCCGCTTGTCCAGCTCCACCAGCTTGATGTCCTCTTCGGTGTTTTCTGTAGTGTTTTGAGCTTACCCGAACTCCAACTGCTGCTTAAGGAAACGCGTCAGGAAATCCTAACGGAATTATAAGGAGTTGCCCCAAGAAAGCATGGATTTTTAATACTACTCATGTAGAATGTCAGGATGTGGGGCTTTTAAGTTTTTCCGAATCCGCAAACCCCAGCAACC